CGTTCCCAATTTGTACATGCAAAGGTGTGTCCATAAAAGTATCAGTTTCGTAATCTTTTTATGGTGGAAATCCTCCGGACAATTGATTTGCCAGGTCGCTACATCTTTGATCGTTTTTGCACCCGGCCCCACCTCTTGTAAAGAGACGACGAGAAGGAGAACAACAAAAAACACACAATCCCCCTTCACTTCGTCACAATGGTTAGGTTTTTCTTGCGGAACCGGCTCGCATGTAATTGTCACCGGGTTGCTCCGCAAAGCCGCGCGCTCGGCCCCACGCTTTAAAAAAATACTCACGCGTGAATATGCGCGTGTTTTGCAAACGCTGCAACAATAACAGTGCAAAAATGGAAGGCCGCGGTCTCCCAGGCCAATTCCAAGCAGAGGAATTGACAACCAAAATCAAAACTTGTGTGTTCCGCGACATGGATTGGATGTCGGATGATGTCGGGCGTGGCGGTAAATTGCAGGTGAAGAAGACCAGTACATACCCTTCGCACTGTATGATCAGTGATCACTTTGCGAATCCTATGGTCAGCGAATGTTACACGTTGCCATGAAAATTTGTCGCCCCAAAAGTCTCCTCGGACATTCCTGTTCGTTGCGTGTTGCCAGTTAGCCTTAGAAATTTTCATTTTTGGATCACTTAGGCTTACTTTGCCATGTTTTTTACTTTCGACTTTTCATTTCGACGTTGTTTCACGAACTAACATTCACCAAACCCGGTTGAGATGTCGAGAACCTTTAGAGTTTTGAAGAAAAGTCGTTAGCTGCCACTGGCACACCGGGGTGAAAGTCCGTCAAGGAAACCAACAATTTTCAGGGAAGGAGAGCCTGTGTTGCATAGACGTTGCGCTCAGGGAATTTAATATTTTTATCGTCGCATGGTTCGATGGTTGGTTGATCACGAAAGGTACCCTAGGCCACCTGAGTTCTATGTACTTTAGTGCTAGTTTAGTACTGGGGGAGGTGGCTGGCCCTTTCCCGGAAATTGAGAGCTGAGAGTAAGGAATCTCCACTCAGGGCCCCTTCCACCACCCCCCCGCCAATCTGATTCCCCCCTGGTCCGCAACCAAAAAAAGAATCAGCGCATGTCACTCGGGGTTTTTCATATGATGGGGAACAGCTAACATGAACCTTAAACATAATATTTATATATATATATACATGTATGATATAGAATATAGTGGCCGCGTCTTGTTGCATATTGCCAGTTATGGATCAATATCTTCCATTCAGATGCTAACGCCGGCGGCTGACCAGAGAGTTCCTGCACAATGCAAAGTGGCTCAACTGAACCTCTCTCGGTTGAGGGACTATGAATTTGGACTTGTTGCTTCCACCATAACACCGTCATTTCTCTTCTTCAGCAACTGTTGCCCTTCGATTGCGACGCTCTGTCCTCCCGCTATCAATCTGGTGTATTGCAGCACTATGTAGTGCTACTCATGTCCTAGAATGTCACAGGGTTGCATGATTGCGCATGCATGCTGGATTGGCATGATAAGCAGCTGCTACTGTTCTTCCCTAGACGTACGGCCCGGCACCGGCCGGCACCGGCAACCGGCACCGGCCGGCCACCGGCACCGCTTGCCAATTACTGACGTCGTCACTTCAACATCCTTGAAGTACATGAAGAGAAAACCTCTCGGCACAATTTCCAGCAACGGTCTGACAATGCTGAGAGATCATCTGATGACCAAGAAGTACCGCCTGAGTCCGAAATATTCCGAAATGGAGGACAACGAACCTATACGAACCTATCACTGCCAACATTGGCACATTACCGATTCCAAGTCAGATTCACCAACTGACTACAGTCCTCCACAACATCCTCATAAGCGACAGGGATTGCAACGCAGAGATTCTTGAGAAACTTGAGAACCCCCAGGATGACTTGACCGCCAGTCCGATTCAGGTGTTCACGGCGGGAAATTTGGCTCACCTTGCCAGCCATTTGGCTACGTCGGAGATCCATGCCCGACAGGCCCAGGACATGGAAGACTTATCGGATATCGACGTTTAGCTCGAAGATGTGGTACAAACTTGCGACCCGTACTGAGTAATCCGGCTAATCACGAAAGGTAGCATCAGCTACCTGAGTTCTCCGTGCTTCAGCACAATCATAGGGGGTATTGGGGGGCCAGCCCGTGGGAAACGTGGAATTCTCGACATTATGTATTAGACATCAATTATAAGGGCCCCCCTCCCCCTCTAAAATGGTCATGGGTTCAATTCCCACGGGTGACGCGGCCACGGCCCTCCACAGTAGAGGCGCGCTCTCCATGAGGGAGATGTCCCTGTAGTCCAGCATAGTTGGTTTGCTGGTTTGCTTCAGCCTCAATAACAGTTGCTGCAAGGGGTCTTAAAGTGCATCATTTCACGCTGCACAAGACACCGTATCATGCAGTCATGCTCTGGATAAAATCAATCTAGACTGCGCAAAAAACGTTTTTGGTGTATCATCTTAGGGGCGCAGCGTTTTGACACCACTCCTCTCCCACTACACTACCTTTCGTCCGCCTCCGCCTGCTCTCAAGTTCAATTGTATTTTTTCACTGCTTTTTGATTTCGTTGAAACATCCAGCCTCAGGGATCATCTAAGAGCTGATCGACAACCCACGCGTTTGTTGCACAAAATGGCCTCGCGGCAGCGGGGCGTGTGTGTGAAACATTGGAAGAGATGAAAAACTTCTAACCGTTGCTTGTTTTTTAGGTTTTCGTGAGCTGTACTTGATTTCAAGCAGGGGAGTGCGGCATGATTGTGGGACCGCACTCAACGAAGCTACCGCAATCATGGGATACTGGGTTTGATCAACCCAGCCTACTTGCCATTTCAATTTCTGCTGTGTCAATTTTCAGCAATGGGACGTGGCTAACCCGAGAACCACCTTGCCGATTTTTTTTCAAACTGTTTCAAACCAAATCATACCAAATCCAAACTCTCAGTTTTCCATTCGATGTCGCTTCACTGCCTGTACGGTTTTCGCAATCTGAATTTCCAATGTCAATAGAGGAAGGTCGAGCTGCATCAGAACGGTTTGATTCATCTAGCAGGGACGTAGAAAGATTACCTTCGCACAATTTCTCACTTTGGGTCATCCAATTTCTCCTGTCAGGTTTTAGTGAAGTGTTTTTGCACGTAAGATGCATTCCACATCAGAATTCGCAAAAATATTTCTGAGCAAGTGTGTGTAAACGCGTGAAAGGTTTGTCTGTGTCACAACATTCCGTGTAATTGTTTTTTTTTGTTTTTGTGTTTTTTTTTTGTCGAACTTGTTCTTTGGTAAACACTTCTCCGTGTAAACACTTTTGCGTGTAAAGCTTCTAGGTGAAAACACGTGTGATCACTTGTGTGTGCGTGCTTGTGTGTGGAAGGATTTCCCTGTGTAGAAACTTGTGTGCGTAAAGGTTCCTTTGTGCAAAGATTTCGGTGTAAAAAAATATGCGTAAAAACTGTTCGGTGTAAAGGTTTCTCCCTGTAAAAACGTTTATGTTTATGTGTAAAAGAAATTGTACATGTGTCTTTCTGCACACGTTTCTCAGTGTAAACAATTCTCTGTGTGAGCACGTTTGGGTGTAAACAAAAATTGTGTGTATGGACGAACTTCCTCTCTGTTGACAATATTTTGTTGCGAAAAGTTTCCGTGTGTAAAGACTTCTTTGTGCAAATGCTTCGTTGTGTAAACGCTTCTGTGAGTAAAACTTTCTCTATGTGCAAAAAGGCGCCTGTGTGTAAAAAGATATGTCACAACTTCTCTGTGTAAGATTTCTTTGCTTGTAAAAACTTTTGTATGTAAAAAGTGTATGTGTGTAAAAATTCCAGTGTCAAGGTTTTTTGTGTATAAATTCTGGTGCCAGCACCTTGTAGTGGGTGAGCATGCTGCCGGTGCGTAACCTTTATATAATTGTTTTGAACCCGCTGCCAATACAGAATGGTATCTAACAACTGCATGAGGTCCAAACTTGATCCAACCAAATTCAAGCAATGACAGCTACAACATGTTTCCTGAGAAAAATGTTGGTTGGAACTTTGGATGTAATAGGCCCAACTACAAAATGTTAATGGGAAAAACATGTTAGCATTTCCGATTTTCAGCACTTGTTAACTTTAGATGTTTTTTTTTTGAGGGTTGTTATGCACATCTTGAAAGGCAGATAGCATAGAGGTTACAGTATTATAGAAACTTTGTTGTACATAGCCGGACGGCACCTCTACAAGTAGCCGACACGAGGATAAAAAAAAAAACTTATACATTAAAGCCTTCTTTCTCTACAAAATGCCTAATGTTCGAAGGGATCCAACCTCCTGAGAGCACAGAATCCTCTACAAAAAGGATAGGGAAAAATCCAGCTGGATGATTGATTGTTCCTTTAGGTTAACCATGTGGGTTGGGCAACCTTCTTGTAGAGCTGATTTAGCTCGGTTCTTGGCATAGTGCCTAGAGTTGGCACTAGCTTCTTGTAGTCCTCGGGTTTTTGCAGGTGTTCGGTGTTTGTAGACCCTGGGGTTGATCGCTAGTGACTTATCACTAGGAAATGGGGGGTCCAACCCCCCCTAATTCAAACGAGCATATATTGGGTTCATTCTTTGTATGCAAGCGCTATCGATTGAATTCATCAATATATTTGAATCCTGTTTTATTTGTTTCTCCTAAGTCCTGTGTTGCCCCAATATTGCATACCGCTGCTGCAGGTTCGTTGGTGCCCTGCAACGTTTGCCACTGTCCAGCCTGCAGCAACGAACAGAACTATTATTGCAAAACTTTGGCATGGCTGGCTCACAACGGAAATCATGCTAGTTGGAATTCAATTCGACGAGCACAATTGTAAATCCATGTGTAACGCAACTGCTAGATACTGCTAGCTGCTAGCTGCAATTCTCCGCTTCTGTGCGCGCAAACATTGTTTTTCAAAGTTCTTGAAATTATTGTCAGTGTTTCGTTCCTGTTCAGACTTGCTTAGCCGAATGCATCCCTATAATTGAATAAATATATGCATACACATCGCCCTGATCATGGCGAGCCGATGTTGTCGCCGGTGTTGTCCCTCCACTATTTGCGGGGTTGATGTATCAGATCTTTTCGCTTACAGTGCCTTGGTTTGCATGCGAGATCCAAAAAGTATATAGCGACCATCCGAGTCTCCCAACCGGATTATCAGATTTGTACCAGGTTAAGTGATGCTCTTTTTGTAAGAGTCAATTTGAACAGAGGAATTGAAGGAAAGAGTGCGTGTGGGTTCCTCTTTCGGCGCAAACAACACCAGTCATGGTCAAAGTCAAAGGCAAAAACTTTCAGCAATTCGAGGCACAACCAAATACATCAAGATCCGGGATGCACGACTAGGCACCCCGGTACGAAGGTCCGTGTGGGGCTTAAGGGTAGTTGGCGCGAGCTTTCGTCATTGTACGTACTATTTTTAATTTTTTTCTTGCGTGCCTACGTGTTTTGTTGTGTCGTGTTGTGTGGTGTTTTGCTGAGTTTGACTGGGCTAGCACTTGTCCATCAAGGAGTCATTGCCACAAGTGGAAATGATAAAGCAGACATGCTTTCTAGACAAAAACACCTTGGAAGGGTTAACTTGAGGATTCAGGACGGTCCAAACGCAGCAGCCCGTGACATGTTTGTGCGGCACTAGCGGGGAACTGCGACATGTAAGGCTTGCTTCACTATGGATTGATGTTCCTGATCGTCGTGTACATTTTGGTGTACCAGCTGATTGGGAAACTAGGCGAGGAACATCAACTGGGCTTGGGGCATGGGACCGTTGTGTAGTAGAGTGTGGGGTTTCAAGTTGGTCGCATTCGACATAATACTGATTCTTCAACCCATATGCCATCATGATGATGGTGGTGATGGTGATATATTGCGATGATGGTGATGAGTGTGATGAGTGCGATGAGGGGGATGAGGGTGATGAGGGTGATGGGGGTGATGGTGGTGGTGATGATGATGATGATGATGATGCAGATGATGATGATGATGATGATGAGTGATGAATGACGAGTGGTGAGTGATGAGTGACGAATGATGAGTGGTGCTGCTGCTGCTGATGATAGTAACGACGCCCGATAATTAATCACAACCACTAGGTGATAATAGATTTCAAGATAGATATAGATCTATGATAAAATCATGTAAAATCATGTAAACATGTTCATGATGAAGGTCATGGTTTCCTTGGAGACGCGTGCAGTGAACAGCCGCGTTGGCCAGGCTACTTGAAGTTCAATGACGCGCAAAACACCGTGCGTTTGACGCTGTCGCCCGGAGAGGTAGGTAGGCATTTGAATGTTTTTAGCATGATCATTCTGGAAATGCTCCTTTCTCATCCAGTAGTCGCCCTTTGATGGACCGTTCGTTACCTTCTTTGTGAAGCGGTGTGTTCACTGACATGTTTCTCAGCGCATGCTGCTGAGGCAAGAACCGACTCAGAACTGCAACCCCAACGATGCAGATTGCAAGGATCCGCCTTCACACATTTGTAAATTCTGTTTGTGTTGAAGTTGTGCATCGTCAGCATGAATATTTCATCACGGCTCGTAACAACTTTTTGTAATACTTTGTAAATATTTGGCGATGATAATCGTTTTCGCGCTCAAAGGTGCCACTTTCCGCAGAGTTACCTCCAAATGACATTGGAGATGGGACAAATTATTTTTGCAGGATATAGCATTGATATTTATCCTACACCTCCCTGTGAAGTAGTGCCTGTGGTCATTATAGTTGCTCGCATTACCCTATGGCTCAAGAAAAAGAGAGTGTGCATTTAGTGGCTGGTGCTGGCTGTTAAACCTTGACAAGTAGGTTATCAATGGTTATCAGCCGTATCGCCACGGTACCTTCCCTTTCTAACTAATGTTCCCCCCCCTCAGGGAAACCATCATTCAACAGCAGAGTGAACAGATCAAGGCTCAGCAACTCCAAACTGAGTCTATGAACATGCGAATGTGAAAACTCCTGAATACCTTATAGGACCAATATCTGCTCCGAATGTCCAGACTGCGGCTGTGATGCCACCCGCTACTGAGGTGAAGATTTCAGCTCCGTTGAGCTCCTTTGCATCAGCTAGTGCGCCAAAAGCAACTATCCCGAATGCCGACTTGTGGGAAGTGTCATATCCTCCTACAAGCGTCGTTCAGTCGGAAAGGGGTAATGGTGACGGCCCGCCAGGTAACCATGATCCCGACGATGATGGGTCGAAAGGTGGTGATGAGCCTGAACGCAGACGAAAGGACAAAGATAGTAAGACGGTATAAGAGGCCCATTCAAGGGTGCCGATGACCACCGGGAGGTGGGCCCGGGGATGGGGACGATGATGATGACGACGGCAATGGGGACTGATGACAGTGATCGCAAGTTTGTACGTCGAATGAGAGCCGTTTTTGGCACCACAAAGACCAAATAAATGACAAAAACAGGGTCAAAGAGGTAGACACGATCAAGGTTCCAGCCTTTCCGCATGCCGAGCCCTAGAGCCCTACAGAAACTGGAGAATTCCAACCAGGGAGGTTGTCATGTCTGCATCTACCGACCCGATAAAGCATGTGATTGGATCAGTGAGGCATGGGTGGAAGCCCAAACATTGGAAGGCCCGTAACTTTGGATGCGAAACTGTTGTCTGCACTCACCAACATCGTGACAGGTGATTTCGCCCGCAAAGTAGACACCTACAAAGAGATTGAAACCACCAATCAAAGATACGTAAGGGGACGCCAAGTACTGTTGATGATGCACGACCATTTCAGTACTAACACCAAACACGGTGATATGCCCTTCACGATCTCTTTAGCGTGAAGCTCAAGGGCGATAACCTTCGTGGGTTTTTCAGTAATTGGGATCGAGTCATGGCTGGTATTCCGAAGGTTCCAGAAGTCAGTGTACTGGAAACCCTCGTCTTTAACCAGGTTAAGAACAGCAAACCCATTGCACACGATCTGCGGGAGTATCATCGTGCTGAAGAAGGCACAGAAAAGAAATCCGACGAATTCCTGGTGACTGCAGTCCGGCCGTTACTTGGACAGGAGGCGGCTCCAGTCCAACAGGGAACGAATTGCAAGAACCCTCGGTGCCTCCTCATCAAGCGCTGCACCCGCAGTTGGCGAGAAGACGGGGTACATCCAAAGGGGAACTGTGTCAAATGGAACAAAGGATCATGTACTAATGACTCCTGCACATTCAAGCATGAAAGACCTCCTCCCAAGAAAGATCAAGAGGCAGATACCACATAGGGACAGGTGCAATAGAGGCAGTGACTGTCGTTTTAGCCACCAGGGAAAGCAGTCCAAATCGCCCCGTGCTAACGATGATGATTTATGGCACGTCTATGAAGAGAACTTAAAGATAGACCCTCCAGTCGAAGACCTTCAGAAGGAAATGGACATCCATGAAGTTGTCGCCATTATTTTCTCTAAGAAACCCACCGCCTTGAGGAACAAAGTAGACGAGCCAGCAGATGAGGAGATCCCGGCAGGAGATGTAGAAGTAATCAATCCAATCACTGGGAACACTGAGAATATTCGATCCGATGACCCATCATACTATGGCGGCAGTGGCTTCAAAGCCCATAAGTACAAGAATTCAAGTAAGCCAAAAGAAATCCCTCCTTTTGTATGGAAGTCAATGTCGCAGAAGGACAGACGAAATGCTATAGCAGAGGAACAGAAGACTTTGGCATTGGAGGAGAAGGAGAAGAAACGGGCTAGACGGGTAAAATCATTGCCGAGCTTAGGAGTCTTGAAGTGTACCCCAAATGATGTTGAAGATCGCATGGCCTTCGACTTCATCCCAGCAATGCCAGTTTGCCAAATGAACCCACAAAAACATCGAGTCAAATGTGTTAGGCTGGAAATCCGAACAGGGGAAAGAACCATCAACACTCTTGTTGCACGACCGGTGGGGAAAAAGGAAATCAGAGCCAACCCCAAGGCGCCACAAGCACTTGATATCGAGTGTGACAATTTGGTAAAGAATAATGTCGGGACCCAAAGGAAACATGCCGAAGGGATGGAGTCTGATAGCTTCCAAGATTGACATGGACACACCCGGGGAAGTCAATAGATATCTTGGTTGCGACCACCGAGATGTGCATAATGTCAAGCTCACGGTGCCACAGGACTCAAGATTTCTGGGAACTCGACCAGGTCAACAACGTCTACATGAGACACCATGTGCAGCCTCGCAAGGAGATTGATCGTTGAAGTTTGCTGCCATCCCGAACCCAAACTGAGTCAAACCAACCGGAAGTGGTCAGAAGGATGTGAAGTGTTGCAGCTCACAAAGGAATTTGATCTAAATGAGATGAACAATCAGATTAGCATTGCCGACTATGTCAATTGGTGACGTCAAGCCTTTGATTTGGATTAGTCTTCCTTGCGCGGGGGGTACGCCTTGGACGTACGTACATCAACATGAAAATCCCCAGTGCAAGAGAGAAGATTTTGAAACATGTCAGAGAGTTTGATCGGCTGTGGATTTCATTGAAGTCTTTTTCTCAAAATGCTGAACTGTGACGTTCACATCGCACTGGAATGGCCAAGAAAATGTCGGTATTGGAACTTGACTAAAGTCTCAAAATTGCTCATTCAGTACGATATGGTAACTTATAACTTCGACGGTTGTGCTCTTGGAACGAAGGATCAGGTGGGAATTCCTCTAGAAGAGGCCTTGGACTGTGGCCTTCAAGCGATCAGAAAGCCGTGTCCTGGACATTGTCATTGTTGGCAACGCCGATGGGGAGCTGCTCGCCCTTCCAAAGGCGTACAACGATACAATGAGTACCCGCGTCAGGCAGCCCAGAGAGAATCATGTGATCCAGACCATCGGCTGAGCAGAACCGTCCGGTATGACAAGGTGCACATGGAGGATGAGACGATCAACCGCAAACTGGTCACATCGTTCCTGAAGGCGGTCATCGATTGTCACCTCTCCTACCTCAAGCTCATCGGAGTCGACGATCATCTTCGAAAACTGCCGCGAATTGAGGACTTGACCGAGTTGAAGGAATATCCCAACCTCCTAGCCTTCAAGATGGCTTTCAAGCTTGAGATCGACTCCAACGTCTCGTCGCTCAAGGACATCCCCAGGATGCCGGATTTGGAGCAGAAGATGGCCGAGACCGATGAGGAGATCTGGCAATGGGTTCTTCAAGCTGAAGCGGTTACTACAACTGCCGCGTGGGAGGTTGAGCCTATGATCAAGGAGATCGCTGAGGAGGATCAAGCGTTGGAGCCTATGAACATTGCCAACGCTGACTCTGATGACAAGCTCGTGAAGATCAAGGCCATTACCGTGGACGATCGGCTGGATGCCAGAAGAAGGATCTTCTCCGAACACCCTGGCCAAAAATGGCAAGATCCAAGCTACGCCCCTGAGGAGGAGGACTTCGAGTTCACTGGCTGGGACCTCGTTCCTGAAGCAAAGCGCACGCCGAGAGTTGTGGCCAGCAACCCCATCGTCGAGGAGGAGAAGGAGCTCGACTTGGACGATCTCGTGAGGTGATCGTCGAGGTCGAAGAGGAAGTCAGTGGCATTTCTTCCTTCGGGCTTGCAGGAGGAAAGCGCTACTGCACGGGGGGGCCCGGAGCCTATATGGATGTTGATGCAGAGACTGGCAAGGCAGGGAAGTCAAGTGCGAATGCTGCGTCGGTGGGAGCCACGCCTCCCATGATAAAGTCCAGGCCCAAGACCAAACGTGAAAAGAAGGCTATGCCAAAGTTGAAGGTTGTCAATGAAGGGCACGGGCCAAGCCGACAGGAGTTCGACACTTCGGCATTCACCTCGGCACAGGACCTGGTGTGGACAGAGCCTGGCAGCATGGTTGGGATCCCAAGCGGGCGTGTCGACTGTGGCCGGCTCAGAGCGATCTCGCACTCGATGTCTGACTACTTGAGAGGACATCGTCTCTTCCACAGGCGTCATTCCCCTGAGATTCGGCGCTCAGATTTGTCGATGGACTTCAAGGCATGGGTGCGACATCTCCAAGGTGACTTTCCCCATCTTCGTGAACGAGAGGTTCTGATGGCCGTGAAGAATTCGCCCATGAGATGCTTTCGAGTGATGGTGAGCGGCATGTCAGCGGGGCATGGCATCCATGATCAAGAAGATGTACACCTGCGACGAGGAGTTCGACATCAAGAAGATCGACGATCCCAGGGTCCACCCCAATGTCAATTTCTCTGCGATGCCGGAAGGCTCGCCCGTATGGGATGACTTCCCGAAGAGTCATTTATCATACGTGTGACCAAGCGGCATTCTTGTCAACCATTGGCAACGTGCTCATTCCTGGAGGCTTTCCGCACAAAACAGGGCGTGCACACAACTTCTTCAATTCGACGCCGCCCTGGAAAGCGGAAATGAAAAAACTTCAAGGAACGCGGGCCTTTGATACGGAGATGCTCATGCAGACCGGCGTGAAGCTCTTTGCCACAGGTGAGGCCATCCTCTCGCCTTCATCAACAGGGCGTATGCGACCCATCGCAAGGCATATCAGCAGGTGCTCAAGAGGCACAGGAACCTGGACTTGCTGAGCAAGATGACCATGTAGCAGCGAATCGAGTTTGGAAAGCTGCTCGGATTCTCGGGCAAGGAGGGACTGGAAGTTGAGAAGAGCACAGCTACCCGGGAGAGCTACACCATTCAGAAGGTGGCTGCAATGACCAGCACTGATGCCTGTGGATTCATCCGTCGAGGTCGACATGGGAAAGGTATGGAAAGGTAGTGGAAACTGCGGGGAGGGATTGAAGATGAAGGATGTCTCAGTGACCCAGATCCAGGAGTACCCCAAGATGCGATGCCCTCATCCTATCTGTCGTTATTTGATGGTCGATGGTCATCTGAAGTGCCCGCAGTGCTTCAGGCAGATTGAGCCGGTGACCGGCGCCAACATTGCGACTGAGGTAGCCCGCCGGGAGGCGACGGCCCGAACAAAAGGTAAAGGAGGGGCTTATGTCCATGGACACGATCCTTCTCCATCATCCGAGGAGAGCAAAGACGTCCCATGCAGAAGGCAGTCCTCATCAAGTTCGGGCCCAGTTCGCACCCCAGCAATTACGGTTGCTCAGAGACATGGCCAAGAACTACGTGCGGTCATGTCGAAAAAGAGGTTTTGGGAATCTGGTTGATCGGCTGCAACGTGATCTTTTCTTCCGGTTCAATGCCGCGAACCAAGACTTGGTGCTGGAGGCATGAAACTTCATTGACAGGCTTGCCGGCTGCATTAGCCCTGTCATCAACCGGACGAAGGCCCAGATCTTGGGGGAGAAGTTCGAGATGGCCACCAAGTTGGTCTCTGTTCCATCGGCCACCCGCGAAAGGGACGAGCCTCTCGATCTTCACACGGAGGTCTTCGTGAGCCATTGTGGTGTGTTCCTGGACATCGGGCAGTTTGCGGTCTACGTCGCCAAGTTCATCAAGGCGAATTGGGGGAAGACCGCTCCCCCTGGTCTACGGATGGAATGATCAAGACTTCGTTCCTGATGCAGACACCTCCAATGACATCGCCAAGGACCTTGTCGAATTCAGCAAGCTCCATTGGACTATCTTTGCATCCACGCAAATAAAGCATGAGAGCGAGACTGTTGGCGAGGACCGGGAGGTTCGCCTTCCCCATGCTACGGCATCCGTGTCGCTGCCGCAGCACTCCCGTCCTCACCCTGAACAGTTTGAGCCCAACTTGGGAAAGCCTGCGCGAGATGGTCCTTATGGCAAAGATCAAGGGGGCAAAGGCCAGCACAAGGGCAAGGGAAAAGGCCAAAGCAAAGGGAAGGGCAAGCAAGGCAAAAGTCCACCGGGAGGTGTGACCTTCTACGACTATGTGGGGCAGAGCGGATGGAGCCAGGGCTACCATTTCACTTGGTATTGGAACCAGCAGCGTGGATGGTTTTGGCGCTGGGACTGAGTCCGTAGTTTCCCTACAGTGGCGTATTGGCACATTTTCTGTTGCTGGCCGGGAGGCATGCCTGACTTTCATCAATTGGCCAGGTGTTGCACCCAGTTGGAAAAATCCAAACAATAATTGCAACATTGCATTTGCCCATCATAAGCCTATGCGCTGCACATTGCTTTGCACCGATTTCCGCACAGTTTGAACCAATTAAGATTTTCAATCAGACTTCTCATTTCAGCCCATTGGATGTTCAAGGCACATTTTTGATTGAAACAGACTCTTCATGGCTGTACAGTTTTTCCTGCCATGATGCTTATTGATTAATAAGTGTTTGGTTGGAGTGGTATAGCTCCCTCACTTGGACAGCATCATGCCTGGCGGGAGCTATGGCCATGCTGTGTGCAACTCGTCCGTGAACCGGCATAAAATAAAGAGTTGATGCTTCACCCGTTGAGCTCATCGACAATTGCCTTGACATCCAATCCTAGCAAGCCTTTTGCATCCGTGAGATTCATTCCGTAGTTGTTCACTGTCCTGCCACTTAGGTCTTTTGCGGCGGCTGACTGCAGGCTCGATTTACCACCGCTGCTAAGCAGCTCCGGTAAAAGGGGGTATTTTTACAGGGTAGCATTGCATTGGTATATTTATCTTACACCTCCCTGTAAAGCAGTGCCTGTGGTCATTATAGTTACTCGCGCTACCTTATGGCTCAAGAAAAAGAAAGTGTGCATTTAGTGGCTGGTGCTGGCTGTTTAACCTTGACAAAAAACTTCTTCAAGGTGTTCCACCAAAAAAATGCCCATATTATGCATCTTCATGTTCTTCGCTACATGAGCTGCAAATCACTTTTCCCGCGGTCAACGCTTTCCCGTCGCTGCCCGTAGCTGTTTTGATCCGGCAGGACAGCTTTAGCAGTTTGAGCAGCTTGCCATATTGCTGCGCGCAAAACTCCAGCTGCAGTTTTAATGCCGACGGTTCCTGTTCGTGCCTTGGATGTATTGAGCGTTGGTCGTGAACCGAATTCCACCATGTCGGTTGGATATCACCACCTATGTCTGCGTTGCCTTCATTTGTGCTAAAATTGCCCGGATGAACATCATGCAACATTTGAACAAGGTATCATATGATGATTCATTCATTCCCTCGGACATTGCGATATATTTCTTGATTCAAACTGCTTGTGACGCAGAGGTGCGACTACAGGACAAGCTTCAAGGACTACAACTGCACTTGGCTCAGTGGCAGCGACGCCTCTGTGACTCGTGAGAGTTCCATTGTCGTCGCTACATTTGTCCATGCGCCTCCGTCAGCACGATGACCCGGGGATCCTTCGTGTGTCTGTTGGGGAAGCTTAGGGAAATTTAGAACCTAAGGGCCTAAGGGCTTAATTAAGGGCCTTGGGAGTTTGAGAGGCGTTTGGCAGTAGGCATGCCATTGAAATCTCGGAAGAGCATGGTGGGTTGGGTCATTGTTACTTCTTATAATTACTGTAGGCATAAAGCCTACGGAGGTGTATGGTGCGAATGCGCACCATTTAACAAACCGAGCGTCTAATGCAAAGACACGTGTATATGAATAGAATGTTCGTGTCCACGTGCAAAGCACGACCAAATGGATAAAGAGACGCGACGACACGTGCCTCAATTTACCATGTTGTGCAGGCCAGCGGCCAGCCGAGCCAAGGAATACACCCAGCTTCTGAACAGTACATGCTTTTCGTCTTACCCTTCGGCTGCGAATGCCTGCGATCATTTGTGGGTAGCAGATGGCGAGGCTGACCTTGACGTTCAGCAGGGCCACTACAGCCAAATGAGCAGTGTTCAAAACCACGGCTGGCTGGTGATTACACAGGTTGTGTACTAGTCATACTACACAATACATAGGCGGTTATAGTAATCCATTACATATGGGAACCAGTACAATGGAATGACAGGTTTTTGAATGCTCAAATATGCTCACGCCTGCCTGAACCAACAACAAGTTTCGAACACACCATCGCCAACATAGATTCGTATACGTACCGTTGAACTATATGTATTGTATATAAAATGATGCATATAGTATATGTGTCTGTATGTGCCACATCTTTGTTATTTGTATATAGTTTTCAGGTATATGCATTTGCATATTTATGTTTCTAAATGTAGATAGAAATGAAAAATCATATGCACATATAAATATACCTATAAATATACATATAGATATACTGATATACATATGAATATAAATATAAATATACATATAAAATCATATAAATAAACATATAAATATACATATAAATATAATTATACATATAAATATAAATGCAAATTCAAATATAAATAGCAATGATATAAATTTAATTATAAATATAGTTATAAATATAGTTATAAATATAAATATAACTATAACTATAAATATACATATAAATATAGATATAAATATAAATATGAATATGAATATGAATATGAATAAATACAAATATAGATATACATAAATATACACATAAACATATACATTAACGAAACATAATAAATAGATATGTGTGTATATATATATATGTGTGTGCGGACATGTATCTGTCAAAGTAGGGTAGATGGAACTGTGTGTGTGTATATGTATGCACATGTAAATATGCATGCACTGTAGATCCATTTTGTATCTACGCCACATGAAACGAAGTGGAAGGGAGTTAGCAGGTTTTTGGTTCGGCCGGGTGGCTGTGGCTGTGGCAAAATAAATGATGTTTATTAGCTAACAGCTCGAATAAGACACCGACTTTCCACCAAGGGCACACAGCCTGTGGGCTCTGGGCTCAAAGGAATGGAAGGCACTCCATTGGGAGTATGTGTAGTACTGTGCGGTGGACAAACTCGGCCACTTACCTGTCTGACCAGCTAAAAATTGTCCGGAGGCATCTGTGTTTGCAGCCGACGTGGAATCTTTCACTCTGCTGATTGTTACTGGGCAGCCTTTTTCTGGATTGAATGGGAGATGAGGAGTGGACGTGATAAGATGATGGTTTGACTCCGGTTTGACTTTTTGACATGATTTGAGATGATTGCGTGCATCAACGCAGAGCAATGTCAGCAACCTGGAGTTCGTTCACCAAACACGGCACTGTTTCTCTTAAATGACTTTATAATTTATAATGCTTTATATGTTTCGCCTTGGTCTACAAAACTGGGTGAAGGATGCGGCATTTTGGGATCTGCACCCGTATCAGCAGCAATGCTGTGCTGTGAGTATGCACCAAGGAGGGCAGAAACTTTACAGACATCAACAGACATCAATCCAGAGGTTTTGCTCACAGTATCACTTCCAAATTTGCATCAAACCCCAGTGGACGCTACATGACGCTACATTGCTCCACCGAACTAAACCCAAGGATCATTCGGTAACATCTCCAAAGTCTGGATTGGCAACTACTTCGCGGCAAATGCAGGCGCAAGTCAAGTGAGAGTCACTGATGCCTTCGCCCCTTATCCTGATGGTAGCTTATTCTTAGACATGTTTCCACCCCTGTACCAATTCGATTGCTGGAATCCGTTGACAGACGAAAAACGACTGCATAATACTGAATAATTATTCAATGTTCTTTTATCCTCCCAGCCTTTTGCACTTCTTGATGCTCACAGACGCGCCTACAATCGCGTACGCATGCAGACGCATACAGAGGGCAATCAAGATCTTGGTGCCCATGTTGTTCGAATGACCCTCTTTTGACCTGTTTTTTTTTTGAAGTCCCCTAACATCGGAGAGTTCGCTGCAACTGCGGAGCAAATTGTTCAATTCCTTACATTTCCCATACATTTCCTTACTAGCAAAACAGTCGAGGGCATGCTCTTCGTTGGGGACAACGGCAATGACGATTCCTCTGCCAAAGCGATCAAGGAGCAGAGGGATTCTATCCAAATAGCTGTTTCGGATGGCTGGCATATTTGCGTACTTATGGTATGTATTGATATGTATATGTATATGCTGTCATTCTGTGCTTCCCATATATAACAAACAAATAAACAGATCATAACTATCACACATACACATGTATACACACAAATATCATGCGCTATATACCATGCGCGTAAAATCTATGGTAAACTTCCCTCAGTGCGCATGTGTTCAGGATGCACTTTGTCAAAGCAGCGGCAATGCAGTCACTGCACCAGAAGGAGGAAGCAGCACAAACAAGGCCTTTTGTTGAGAGAAGGGCTGTTCGGGTCAAAGATTCTAATTCGGACCCGTCACTTCAGCAATCTTCATCCTGGATTGTCCATTGCTTGCCTTCCTTTGCCACCAAAAGAGAATCAGTTAGGGTACAGCGCGCTGTTTTCCATGAAATATAGGGGCTGAAAAAGGCCAGGAGGCGTTCAATGATTTTGCATGTACGCCAGCACTGGGTCGGCTTGCAAAGATGCAGGCAATACGTGGCGGCATGAGATTGATGATGCCGATGTGATTTGAGATGGTAACATGTTGCAACAATGTCTTTCATAGATTGGAACTAAACAACCTGCATCATGCCTGAGCAAGAACTATCCATTGCTCCTGCGGCTCAGTCGCCCTGCTACATACCACCAAGCACGGCAGTTGGTTTGGATTACTTCAGCATTGGAACTTTGCTGCAGGCAGGGTACGCTTTTGTGGTGGGACCTCTTGGTTTTGCCAAACAGTGTTGCGCTCCTCACTGGTTCAGTTGTGCTGCCATGGTTTTGCAACCTTTTCGCTTCTTTGTTTGGTCCAGTCAAGTGTTTTCAACAGATGTGTTTTTTTTCCATGCCTTTATGACTGCAAGGTATTGCACGCTCTATGCTGGTGTACCTTTGCTTTTGGAAACGCAGTTGCTCTGAACAACTGTAAAGGGATGGCAGGTATGCGAACATAGAGGTAGCTTTTGGTGGCTTCAAGACTGTGTCCACCCCTGGAGGCCACAGGAGTGACCTTGGAGGGCGAGAGCTATCCAGGTGCAAGACAATTGCCTCACCATTTTGCACTGAGCAGGGTTTGTCGCGGGTTTTATGTGTTTTTATTCTAGCTAGGGAACACCACCCGATCTTGTACATTTTTGATGTCTACCGTGCTGCCGTGCTTTTGTTTAATGATAGGATGTGGTTGGAATCCCTCATTGCTGGCCGGTGTGTCTTCCAGTATTGAAGTTTGTTCAGAGAGGTCGATCCTTGAGGTTCGGGTGATAGATTTGGCACTAGAGTACTTCGTATACAGATGTAGGCCTACCTGTCTATCCCCTCAAACCCAGCTGGGTCGAAGCAAGATGCCATGTCAGGCAGTGGTCACTCAGCGAGGTATGAGGGCCTCACAGTGCCTTGGTGTGAGGGGTGCAGTGGGCTCGTAAAACACTCTCATGGAATCTGGTGGGATCGATCAATGACCCAGAATTTCAGACAAGAGATGACACAGCAACGTTGTCAACATTGTACATTATCAGCCCTGGGCTGCGATGTGCTGTCACTGCAGATCAATCTCCTGATCGACTACAGCAACTCGAAAGATTGGCATGGTTTGCAGACAAACATCAGCCACCTGAACAGCAGCAAGAAGCTTGAACACTGCAACATCTGAGAATCTGAAGCGTGTATTTCAATATATTTCGACGTATTTCAGATGATCAACTTTGGCAAAACCTACGGTGGGTTGGGTGAACGCAAGACATTCTTCATGTGTTTCTTTGAACATCTCAGTAAGAAAACAGTTTGGCACTGGAGCTGTGGTATCTGTGGTCTATAACTTTCCGAACGCCTTTGCAACCTTTGCAAGAAAGGCTATCTCTACAAGCCCTCTGTGGTGCCTCAGAAGCTTGGGTTGAATTGAAAAGCTAGGGGCTCTTTCACGTTTGGCTATGACTCGGGAAGAGTCCTTCACAGTGAGCAATGTCCCAAAACTCATTGTCGGTTTCAACCCAAACGGTTCTGGTCGGACATGCGTTCCTGCAGTTGTATTGACGAAACGCGAAGCCAACAATACCAAAAAATGCAACAAGTACCTGAATTCATGCAGCATTTACTGTCGCCGCCCAAAATCCAGGTAGATTGAGACATAATTATATATATAGTATCGTGGGGAGTTTGATCAGAAATCCTTTCTTGGCCTCAGAGCCTAATAGGTTGCCGATCCACCCTCACCAAGGAGCACATTCAAGACCACCTCGCTGTCACCAATGTCACCTGCCTTTGGCAGAGATATTTTGATGTTTGGACGGTAAGTGTGTGCCGCCCTGGACCGTGTAAACATGTGTAAGCCAACCAGTTTGAAATTGCACACATTCAAGATTTCCTACCACTCTCACTTGACACTTGTTTGTGCCCCCCAAAAATGTTATCTCATGTGCACACGAACATTTTTTTTTTGTGTGTGTGTGTGTGCGCTGGCACATGCATGCACGTGAGATGTACGCCCACAAGTGTGTAAGTCGTGGATTCTTGGCTGCCAGAAGCACATCGTAGTTCAAACTGATGAAATTTGATGACCCGTTCCGATGCAAGGGCCCCCTAGCCAGCAGTGGAATGTGTGATAAGGTCGCTGAATGGCAGCAAGAGGTTGAAGAAAGATATTCACGGCAACACTGGCTGCAAGAAAGGATCCTACACAGGGTCAACAAAACTGCGTGACACAAACGCGCACGCACACGCGCACGCGCCCGCGCTCGCGCGCGCACGCGCACACACACAGGCACACAGACACAGACACACACACACATTAAGACCATGATCACAGCAGTGTTTCTGCCCAATCCATGTTGTGATTTCAGGCAAGCACGGGTTGACACGGGTATCATGCATAGCATTCGCTCTTCAAGAGTTACATAGATGAGAGAGTTGATCGCAAATCCTCACCAAGGCGTTTTGTTTGAAGTGCGGCCATCTGGACAGCTGGCAGTGTTTGACTTTACACAGCTTTTGCTTCAGTACCACGGCTGAAAAAGGAATTATCATACGTCACTCATGGTTCGACGGACATGTATCAATGAATATCAACGAAGATCAACGAATATCAACAAATCATTTTGCATGAATATCAATCATCACCAATGAACATCAAAGAACATCAATGAACATCAATGAATATCACTGAATATCAATGAATATCAAATATATCAATGAACATCAATGAACATCAATGACCATCCATGAAAATCAATGAAGATCAATGAACATCAATGAATATCAATGAATATCAATGAATATAATGAACATCAATGACCATCAATTAAAATCAATGAATATCAATGAACATCAATGAACATCAATGACCATCAATTAAAATCAATGAATATCAATGAACATCAATGAACATCAATGAACATCGCTGAACATCACTGAATACCAATGAACATCAATGAACATCAATGAACATCAACGAATATCAATGAACATCAATGAACATCAATGAACATCAATGAACATCAATGAAAATCAATGAACATCAATGAACATCAATGAACATCAATGAACATCAATGAACATCAATGAACATCAATGAAAATCAATGAACATCAATGAACATCAATGAACATCAATGACCATCAATTAAAATCAATGAATATCAATGAACATCAATGAACGTCAATGAACATCGCTGAACATCACTGAATACCAATGAACTAACATCAATGAACATCAATGAACATCAACGAATATCAATGAACATCAATGAACATCAATGAACATCAATGAACATCAACGAATATCAATGAACATCAATGAACATCAATGAACATCAATGAATATCAATGAACATCAATGAACATCAATGACCATCAATTAAAATCAATGAATATCAATGAACATCAATGAACATCAATGAACATCGCTGAATATCACTGAATACCAATGAACATCAATGAACATCAATGAACATCAATGAACATCAATGACTGAAGGATTCATGAATTTGTTGTGTCATATGTTGATGCTGCTTGGGGATGATAAAGAGGTATGAGGTGATGCAATGTGAAACGGGATGCCGGGCATGGCGAACATGGCAGGCCCGGCCCACCACCCCACCCCACACAGGCTGACTACGAGCTTAACTCTGCTTGCGCTGAGCACTGTGACTTGTCAAGACCTGCGAGCGGAGAAAGTTGTAATGCAGGGACGGAGCGTGCGGAAGGATGAGGAGGTGATTCCAGCAATGTTGAAAATTGCTGAAACTTTCACACGTCATGTTGAACAGAAGACGACTAGACAATGATGGATAAAAGAAGGCCCTTGGAATGCGTACAAAAGCGTGGTCGCTTCACAAGCACCACGACACCAGCTGTAGAACATCGGTGAACATGGGGGTGATGACGGGTGATGGGGTGGAAGTTCCTGCTCCTGAAACGGGCTGGGACCCACTAATCAGCGATGTGGCCCCGTAGATCAAAACCTAAGTTTGTGGGACTTTGCCCTTGAACCGCTAGGTCGGTGTGAACATCCTTGCGCAGTATGTATTGAGATATCGTGCCTTGGCCCAACAAAGAATCGTTGGAGGGGCTTGACGCTATGAAACAGAATAGTGAATCTAGTGTTCATGGGCAGGATGCTGCTCTTCCTTTGACGCCTCTTGTGTGGCAGAGCAGCCTGTCCCTCTTGGAAAAGAGGCAGTTCCTGTAGTTCCTGCCAAATGTAGCCTTCAAAATGCAAACTGTCAGCAGCTCTTCCTGTTGTCAACATGTTTTTGCTGCACTTCTCATGCAGGAACCCTACGTACCTATGTATACCTATGTATCATTGTATATCTATGTCAGTCTATGTCTATGTTTGTTTCTTTATCGATTTCATTTCTTTCATTTCTTTGACAGTTCTTTTTCATCAAGTCCGGGCCCATTCATGGCAGGTTGGTTTGCATTTTGGTCCATATCCATCCTCTCACATCTCACATCCCGCATGCTCCCTGCATCTCCCTACTAATGATTCTTACCTTCTCTCTATTTATCTCGCAGGATGCCAATTTGTGGTTCAGCCTCTTTTTGCAGGTCACTATTATTCTGAAGCTCTTTATGATCGAACGGCAGATTTTGACAACATCTCATTTCTGGAAGCTCAACCCGATGAAGCGCTTCGGAAGGACTGCCGAGCTTTTGCTTCAGATAGGCTCCAGAGGGCCACTTTCGAACGTTCGAATCACAAGTTTTTGGTTTTGTGTTTTCAGTGGTTTCGTGCTCATGGGTAGTGCATGAGTGACCTATTTGGGAGGAGCTACGGGACAGAAATTTGCCAACTACTGGGACGAGAGAGCGGATGATTTTGCGAAACTCGTTTTTCAGACACTTTTGGAGATTGAAACTCTGGGTATTTTCTTGTTTGGTGTGAACATCGTGAACGGTGTGGCATTACAACCCCATTGCCGCGAATCAGGTTGATCTTGTGTTTCCGCACAGGATTTTGGGTCTTGAATCAGTCTTGAAGTTGCTTGTCAGGTCTTTTGATGGCATAGCCAAGGCCTCATGGAGTATGGATACAGGCCTGGCAGCAGCCGTTCCACCTCAAGAGCCAGCCCTTCGGCAGCAGAAAGTGGCATAGAAAGTATCAAAACTACCGCCTACCGCCCCTCTCAAGATCCCGCCCCAGGGCATGTCAGTTCCGGAAAGTCCTTTATCCATGGCGTTTCCTAGTTCAGAGCAATGTGGATAGTGATGTGCTGCATACGAAGATTATTGAAGATTCGTTCCAACCCTCGGAAGAGCTTTCAAATCGTCAGGAATTCCAAACATGTGGTGTTATTTGGGGTCACCCTTCCATTCCCTCCCTTCTGGGTGTGTCGACGAACACAAGATACACATACCCATCATACCCGTTCCAATTTTTCCCTACAAGACATGATGACTTGAGGCCCATATAAAATAAATGGCTTTTCGAGGCAGTTTTTATAGGCCATATGTTGGGTCAGACCTCTGCTTTTTGTAGAGAGGGCATTTTTGGACTCTTTTCTAAACCCAGAATACGCATTCTGATGTCAGATTCAACTTCTCACAGGAATCGTTCTCTTGCCTGTTTTTGCCACACAATCTTTTAGAAACAAAAACTGCAGCATTAGGTTCTAACATGTACTAGCAATTGGTTCTCCATCTTTGCTCACACATAAAGTTGCTGTCAACCCTGAAGCCAGTGATTCAGTCTCCAACTTAAAACTACGTAATAACGTTGGAGGAAGTGAAGCGCTTTTTAGATCTATTTATAAAAGAATTCCCCCAGTCCAGCCGTACTGTGCTTTGCTTTCCCTGTTTCCTGAGGGTTGTCGCAATGCCACCAGAATTTCCTTCCGGGCCATCAATTATAGAGTTTGAACAGTAGACTGGCTTGCGGGGCATCAGGATGAGAAAAGTTTGTCTCAAGATTCTCAAGCGCATTTGATTCCCATAGGAGGATCGTTCTCATGCAGTGGAATCGTTCTCATGGAGTAGAATCCTTCTCATGAAGCAGAATCGTTCTCATGGAGTAGAATCGTTCTGATGGAGTGGAATCGCTCTTTTGGAAATTGTTTCAACTGACTCTGAATTTCTTTTTGCATCCAAAACGTTCAAAAGTTGAATTCTTGAAGCGAATGGGGGATTGAGCGTTTTGAAGACACAGTACAGGGTAAAAAATGGGTTGTTACAGGATCGTTCTTTTGCTGTGAATCGTTCTTTTGAAAAATATGGTGCGGCATGTGTGGAGTGGAAGAGTTAATGTGGGTGAGGGTGACTCTGGCATAGGCTACGACACATGCATTGTGTGATCATCGCTTTGTTCCTGGAATCGTTCTCATGGAGTGGAATCGTTCTCATGGAGCGGATCGTTCTCCTGGGCTGGACTTGTTCTCTTGGGGCTTCCAACCTCTTCGGAACCTTTTTTTTCATTTTTTCCTTAGATCGGACATTTTCCTGTTGCTTTCTTGGATCGAAACTTATGCTCCGCCTTCTGGTGGGACAATGAGCCCCAGTCTTCTTCCTGTAAAAACGCAAGTTTGAATCACCAATGTTTCCAACATGTTTTCTGGGATTGCAGCACGAAATCACTCGCGGTCGGGTGATGCCATTTTCACAAGATTGCAAAGGACACAAGAAACACGCCAAGGAGGTAAAACAAAAACACATCGAGCAACTGGCCCCGAGAACTGGCGACTGTTAGGTTGCGATGTTGTGGTCTGGCGGCTTTTTACCTTTTGCAAACATCATCTTATGTTGAAGTAATTCGCGTCTCAAACGGGGAAGAGTTGAAACATCTATTGGGAATGGGATATTCATCTCTAGATCTTTTAGAGGCAAAAACAACCATTTTGTAAGACATAGTTGTTGGGACACTTTTTGAACATATTAAAATCGCAGCCTACTTTTGTCACTGGGATGGCGGGAGAGAGACTATTGGAGCATTTTGCAGAACATCAAAGGGTCCATGAGGTCAGGAATGCGTTTCGTAGAATCCTTCTTCAGTGCTTCAAAACAAATGATGAGTCTTGAGGTCCCCTGGATGGTCTTCCTAGTGTAATTATTTTGGTACTCTTTATGCACAAAGGCAGACGGGGTCGGGTACTTTCAAGCATCCCATTTCATAGTGGCTTATTACTGCTTTTTGCGCTACTTTAGATTCAAGTTTGGGAGTCCATGATCAACATCCAATCTGGCAAAAAAAGGTCACGCAGAGATGGAACCCAAAATCAACAAGCACCCCATTAGAAAACCCAATCGAATCGCTATGAAAGTTTGATTTGTGTGTTTGTCATCCAGTCATCCTGTATCTCAGTATTTTTGACATGTTTTTGACATTGTGACAAATTGGCGTTTTCATCGATTCATTCTCTACTTTTTGTTGGTCAAGCTATATAATTCATTTTCAGATTTGCTGTCCATCCTCCAATGTAATCATGCAAATCTTGCAAAGTTCTTGTGCTTTTCTAGATTCTGAGCGTTAATTACACAGCCATTCACTATATCTTTGTATAGCTTATAGCGCAGATTATATATTGCCATACTATTGTCATAGCATGTTGTCGTACTAGCAATTCTTTAATGTACCTGAAAGAATGTAAGTGTGCATTGTTTTTAAAATTCAGGATATTGATGGAGATTGTAATTGAACACTTTACGTTCATGTCCTTCATCAGTGGCTTCCATATCGCTTATTCGATGATATTTGCCACCGCATTGAGTTTGATCATCGGTTGCTTCAGGCATTTGTTAGGAACTTTTTTTTTTTTGGGGGGGGGGGGGGCGGCCAAGTAGAAGGACACGTTCTTATAATTTAATCATAACATTGATGATGTATTACCATTTTGTTACATACACATGATTATATACACATGCATATACATAGATATATGATGATATATGCATATATATATACACATTTGTTTCCCTTTCATTTTCACAGTGTTTTTCATTTCTCCCTCAGTTCTTTGACTAGTGGACTTCTTGATGGTCAGGAACAGTTGTAAATTACAGGAGATGCCAACAACATCTTCAAACTATGCAAATCCGAAATTTCAGTTGTAACAAAAAGCAAATATATCATGAAAACCAGTGTGAGCCTGAAAATTGGCATTTGGCCACAATGTCGTGCACATTTTGTAAATGTTTGAACTTCAACCATTTGCTGAGATCGCAATAGATTAGTTCCACATCCCTTTGAACAATAGCATTGTATCTATATGAGCAACCGTAAAAACCCCGGCAATACTAAATATGTATTCGACGGACATTGGTTTATGGAAATTGATGGAAATTGTTAAAAACACGAGGTAAGCGATGGGACCTTCCCAAATTAGCGATACCCCTTTTCAAGGTTATGTCATCATATTTCTCTAATATCCACATTAGCGATACCCAAATATCACATATTATTCATAGTTCATCACACACACATATATATATAAATGCAGCAGTTTCCTGCAAGCGATACCCCCCAAGTTTACCATATATCATTATTGTACAAACGTGTGGTAAGCGATGGGTCCTTCCCAAATTTGTGGATGTCCTTTCCGTGAACCTAGGGTTTTCACAATCGCTCATATATCATCGCTGGCCTCATCACAGTAAAGTGTCTAAAATCTTATTTTTGCTCAAGTTATATATATATATATATACACATGATACGCATATATATATAGTTAAGTTATTAATGCAAAATAAACCAACAACATTGTCGATACCAGTAAACATGTGAATATGGTAGGTTTTCTTTGGTGGTTTTAGCATATTATACGCACACACACACACATGTCACATGTATATATATATATCTAATTGTACAGTATATGTATGTGATGGATTGTGATGGAATATATTGTAATTATGCATGCGCATAACCCTGCATTCACACAGAAATGTTAGACCCCCCGGAGCCCTTCAGCACAGGCATGGAGCCCTACATGGAGCCTGCCATGGCTTCCGCGCGACAACCCTTCGTCCCTTCGGCGCCTGCAGGGCCCTGAGGTGGATCGGAGAGGCAGTGGCACGTGGTGCCACTGTGATGCCCGATGAGAAACGGATGTAACATCAATGTACTCACATTAAGTTGGGGGAAGTCTGCCTGCTATCTTACAATCATACAAATATATTCAATTGTGAGTAATATATTGTTATATCACTGAATATATACTCGGTTTCTCGTGCTTTCTCCAGCACCTGAACTTGTTGTAGCCGCATTGGAGGCTGCAGCAGGGCAGTGCAGGACCATTTTGCTGTTTCACCTCTTCGGATGCAGCATTTCCATTTCTCCTCCGAATGTTTGTGTGTTTGTCGGCTCATTTCTTTGCCAAAACGTGTCTCATGGCAGAGGTGGGATGCTCACCCAAACCGCTGAGTCAAACCTTTTACAGTAAGAGTAAGGCTCTTTTAAGCCTTGATTCGGCTATGTCAATTGTTATCAATTGCTTCCAGCTCGAGGCATGCGAGGGCATGTGCTCAAGCTGCTGAAATTCCTGCGCGTGGATCAAAAAATGGCACCGCAGCTGCGCCTTCTCGGCCAATGAAAAACCACCACGTGCTGGACACCTTTGAGCTGGGGCTTAACAATGACAGTGGATAGAACATGATACTGTAGAACGGTTAATTGTGTAACAAGTTGTGGCACTTGGATCCATTGCAGAGGTGGTCGGCAGTGTCTATTAGCAGCCTTTCAAATGGACTGGACATCAGTCCCGGGAGCACTTGACACTGCAAATGATTTCGGACGATTGTTAACGTTAGCTGACGGTCAGCTGCTGTGTTGCAGTGTTTTTCGGCCCACGGCAAGTATCCAACCTGCTGGCTGTCTCTACCATGGATTCGGCGGGGATGCTTAGATCTGTGAATGCGTCAAGACATGGGAAAATTAGAGTAAAAGGCCCAACGTCGCGCAAGAGAGAGAATGAGAGAGAGAGAGGGAGGGAGGGAGAGAGAGCTCTCTCTCCCTCTCTCCTCTCCACTCTCTCCTCTCTCCCTCTCTCCCTCTCTCCCCCCTGCTCCCGCTATCCTCTCTCCCCTCTCTCATCTCTCCCTCTCTCCCTCTCTCCTCTCTACCCTCTCTCCCCTTTCTCCCTCTCTCCCTCTCTCCCTCTCTACCTCTCCTCCCTCTCTCCATCTCTCCCTCTCTTCCTCTCTCCCTTCTATCCGAGTCATACCTCTCTCGCTCTACTCTCTATAGAACAAGAACGAGAACCCTAAACAACGAATAACGAAAGAACGAAAGAACGAAAGAACGAAGAACGAAAGAACGAAATAACGAAAGAACGAAAGAACGAAAGAACGAAAAAAGAAAGGAAGAAAGGAAGAAAGGAAGAAAAAGAAAGGAAAGGAAGAAAGGAAGAAAAAGAAAAAAAAAAAGCAAGAAAGGAAGAAAGGAAGAAAGGAAGAAAGGATACATACTTCAGACGGCAAGCAAAGCACACAACACGGAACAACCATTGAAACGCTCATGGTCGCAAACCGACGCTTTTTTGGGGCTGTGTGGATGAAGTTTGCTGGACATGCTGAACCTATGCAAGCATTTATATCACGGGTTTGGTCAGCCCCCGATGTCTTCCCTGCCCTGTGCTATGCTGAAACCTTGTGAACATGTCAGTCACCAGTCATTTGCCGAATTACTCAGGAGGAGTCTACATGCAGTGTGGAATCCGGCTGTGATGAAGAGGGCGCTAAGGAGAAGGTTTGGCAATAAGCAGGGCCACAGTGGCAACAAGAACGCCGACACACTAGTGCACCAACTTGATCCAAGTTTCATTTTCCTTCAACATCGGATGGTCACGTAAAAGCGAAATGTAGCAGGATGTAGTGTTCTCATTGGACGCAGCATGACGCAGCATTGGAAAACATGATTTTCCTCTAGGTAATACTTGCCCGCGCCAATGCTGCTGTTTGACGATTCTTTGGACTTGTGCAGGTTGGTTCGCAGAGCTTTGCCGAGAACAAGAAGCAGGTGCCCAGAAAGAAAGATTCGAACAGTGTCTGGCACGACTTAACCAATTTCCCGCTACAAGTCAACAGGGTTCAGGGTGTTTTCAACGGTGGAAGTCTGAACTGCCGAAGTTCGGTGCCAAATTCACTCCCTTCACTAATTAGTCTGTGCATGTCCACGTGCTAGGATGTCACTTTTCTTATTCCCTTAGTGACACTTTTTCCTTGTTGCACCTTGCGGCTCGTGAAAACAGCTGCTCAATCATGTATAGTTTGCGGTATCCTCAGAAATGGGTAGGCGCAACTAGGAGGAAGCAAGCACCATCAAGCACCCACATGGCTGCTGGATGTGCTTGCCCTCAGGTTCGCATTTGCCAGCTTGAGGCACGAGTAAAGTATTTGGCGACTCAGCTCAAAGCATGGGGATTGACATGGGGAAAACCATGTATAGCAAGGTGGAAGTGAGGTTGCCAATGTTTGCCTTGAGCGCTTGCTGTCAAATACATCGGATGTCAAAAGCAGCTTGCCACACTTTGCCACAGCATGTTTGGTCAATGAGGAGCTGGAGCTGGAGAAAGCTCAGAGCAAACTATTGCAAAAGGACGAGCCATGACACCTGGAACTGCGATGGAACTGTCTTTCGCTTTGCTCCTCCTTTGCTTCCATACTACTTTTATTGCGGTTCAAAGTAGTTACAGTACTACATCTGAAGGAAGTATAGGAAGGCTAGTGGTGTTGCTGCAAGTATGAACCAAGCGTAGCCAATGGGGGATCGGAGTCTCTTTTCTATCTTTTCTGTCGGTTTCTTATCACCAGGAGCGCGAGGAGCTCGATGTGGCTGGGGCCTCGGACGTGACTACTTGGACATACTATGATGACATATGATGGCATATGATGACTATGTCATCTCTCTTTTTATATCTATTTATTTGTCTTTTTGTCTGTCGATCAATCTACTGTAATCTGATCCGATCTATACAATCTAATCCAAATCTAATCAAACCTTATCCTACCCCATCCTGTCTATCTATATACTAGACTGTACTTACCAATCTATCTGTCTGTCTGTCTGTCTGTCTGTCTGTCGATCATCTATCGATCATCTACCTATCATCTACCTATCATCTACCTATCATCTACCTATCATCTACCTATCTATCTACCTACCTAAGTATCTAGGTATCTAATGGTATCTAGGTATCTAAGTATCTAGGTGCCTGGGTATCTAGGTATCAAGGTATCTAATCTATCTAATCTATCAAATCTATCAAATCTATCCAATCTATCATATCTATCCGATCTATCAAGTCTACCAAATCTATCAAACCTATCAAATCTACCAAACCTATCTATATAATCTAGTTAATCTATCTAACCTATCTAACCCATCTAACCTATCTGATAGATAGGATAGATAGGATAGATAGGATAGATAGGATAGATAGGATAGATACTGTGCACCATGCTTTGCAATACACTTTTTCTATCCTGCATTGATTGATCTTGGTCGAGTTTCCCTGTTGGCATGGCATGCCAAGCCTCAAGAAGAGATTTCCTTCCAAATCTTCTACATCCAAAGACGTGTTTCAATATTTCGAGGGGCTTTGCCATCTTTCGCCGAACTCGTTTAGTAGTTTCAACCACTGCGATGTCGGCCTCCACCATTTCCGAGGCGAAAGCTCAGCAGGAGCTCCTCCAAGAACTCAAGAAACGAAAAGCGGTGCAGTATGAGTTGCTTGGCACATCTTGGGACCGATCCGTGACATATTCGACTGCAAACCCACATTACATCCGTTGCTCCCTTGAACGGAATTATCTTGGAATATCTCGGAATCATGTTATCCAAGGCTGATTTGTACGGGCCAGCAGCTGTGTGAGATGCAGCAGAAGATCTACGAACAAGAGAAACAGATCCAGAAACTCTCCAGCAACTCGCCTATCGGATCCTTTCGCATTGCGGAGAATTCAGTTTTCCATTAGTGTTGCCATGCTTGCAGTCTTGCCAAGTTACACCAGTAGATAGACAATGTTGGGCAACCCAGAGCCATGATGAGCCTGGACAAGCCTGGACGAGCCATGCTGTTGTGCGGTGTAGCTGTACTTAACATTAACTTAACATTTTGCTTTGCTCCAACCAAGGTGCCAAGCCGCAACAGCACGAGGCCAAGTGCAGCAAGTCCAGGCAAAGCCCTTTCTTGGGGTGACTGGCAGCCTTTCCAGAAAAGTGACACAAAATCACTTGAGCGAAGGCATGACTTTGATGAATTGGCGGCATGCCAGTGACTGGCACATTCATGTTCCCTGTGGCGTTGTGGGGTCTCAACATTTTGACCCTTCCGAGATGAGCACTCAATGAAGAACGACAGTCTGGGTCTCCTTTTGTGGTGGCTAAGTCACTAAGGTCACCCTCTGCGCGGCAGCGCGTGTGCGGGATTTCAGGGTTGGATGTGGCATGATGTGGCCCTCATGGAGCAGCACTGGCCAAGACCATCATACTTAGCTGGCCCGAACAAACGTAATCCTTAATCCTTAGCCAGATTACGGATTACCAAATTTTCGGATTATGTGGTTTGGACGGATTACGGATTAAAAGCCACAACCCCCGTAAAGGATGATGACCGGCATGCTGATTTGAGGAAGTTTTCCTTGGGTTTCGTTTGTGAGTGTGGTGTTTGGATTCGTTTTTGCGATCTATCAGAACTCATTTTGGCTCCTCCGTGTTTTGGTTTTCTCTCTCTTTCTTGAGCGCAATGCCTTGCACGTCTGGGTTGCAACAACGTAGCCACCTTTGCGGCCTGGGCCAAAGAACAACTGAGTGTATCTGCTGCTAGCCACAACCCCCAAAAGTTGCAAATTCCCGAGATTTAGCTCTTCGGGGGCTGTGGCAGCCCGTGTGCCTGACTTCTGAGCATTTTACATCATTTTATTAGATGTAGGTTACAAACGGTTACAAGGTCCCAAGTGGAAAAGGGCTGCAGGTGCTTCAGACGAACAGCTGCTTCCTCTCAGATGATGCGCTTCCTTATGCTGACCGTGCTGCCACGTCTGGCCTTGGGTCAAGCAGAAAACAAACCTCTACAGCCTACCTCATAGCTCGCCAAACCACAACCCCCAAAAGCTGGAAATTCCACACATTTACCTCTCCGGGGGCTATGGGAACCCGTGTGCTACGCAAAATAGAAGCGCAAACGACCAGGTTCACAGGGTAAGGCTTCAGGGGTTGTAAACGGATCACGGATTAGAACGGTTTACGGATTATTCGGATTGAGCCCTTTTTTCGCATTAGCAGCTTTACGGATTAGTTTTACAAGCGCGCGCGCTTGGATGAGCCCAGCTTAGCAGCTTGCTAGTAGCATCGCTTTGAATTTTGCAACACCTTCTCTATGAACGCAAGGCTTTATAAGGTTTCTGGAGTGGTAGGGGCTTTTGGTTGCCCTACGTAGTTGACGAGGTATCGCTATATAGATAATACTGTATGTGATCTTGATGATATGGGTCAAAATCATGGCGTTTTGTAAGCTGCTCATCATTCACCTCCGGTTGATAATCCCCAGTGTGGTCCAGGATCACGCCGCAGCAGGCACACTGGAGGATCACAGTGAAAGACGTGTTGACGTGTGTTGACCTCATTAATTATATTAATTTCAAGGAGTTTTTTCCCCTGGATCATCAGATTGAACATGCTTGCAGGAACTTGAGACCCTATGATCTTGAAACTAATCATACTGCGGAAGCAATGCCACCTGTAGATGAAGCTAGTTGGCTGATGAGCACGAACAGTTGCATTGTCAACGAGCTTGCATTTCTTGCTCCAAGAGTTGCTGTCCGCCCAACACTGCACAGCCAACATTGCAGGGGTCGCAGGCTCCGCTGCCTATATCCAGGCCTGACCAGTTCAGTGATGTTGATATGTATTATATAATATTATTATTATTATATATATATTATATTGATAATGTCGCATTGATCACGTGGCCATACCGCAGTCTTTGCGTTCGAAGTGCGAATTTTCCTTTGTTGACGAGACCTTTGACCTTGGACTGACCCACATTGACCATGAACTGGTGGGAGTGCAGTTACATTGGCAAGGATGCAGTCAACAAAGTTTGCAGGTGGCGCATCAGAAGCAAGGGTTTGAAAGGGCTGATCTTAGCCGTTTGAGTCTGCAGCCTGACATGCAGGACTACAAGGTCCCATGCTGGACTCACAACATTGAACACCATGTTGATCATTTCAATGAGTTTGTCATCACAGCCATGGAAAAAACGCACCCAAGTCGGAAAAGAGGCCCCAAGAAACCTTATTTGGATGAAGACACATGGGCATTGCGAACGTTGAAACGTCGCCATCGCAAAACCCTACGTGAAATCCACCGAAGACAGAAGATTGAACTGTTGTTTCGAATTTGGCGTGCTTGGACCCGACAGAGTGATGATCAGCAGCAGGCTGACTCTATCCGAAGTTATTCAACCACCCTAGCTTGCTGCTCAGTGCGTGGCATGGCTCAACTCCATAGTGTTGCTCAGCAGCTGAAGGTCCGACTGTGCAAGGCGAAAGCGCACTTGCTTCAAAGCCGACTTGAGCAGCTGCCAAGAGAAGCCAGTGCTAGTCAGATACTGCAAGCCATTCACAAAATTCAGGGACCCACGAATCCGAAAAAGATCAAGAGACGCCCATTCCCATTGCTGAAGAATCAAGACGGCACACACTGTGCGTCTGGCAGCCAGAGAAGTGACCGCTGGGCTGAATTCTTTTGCAACATGGAAGGAGGAAGGCGTTTAACCCACCATGAGCTCAGAGAAGGTTGGATTGACAACTTGAAGCACTTCCGGCAGCATCAGTTTGACTTGAACTTTGATTCACTCCCCACGCTTTGTGATTTGGAACGTGCTTATTCCCATGTGCGCATTGGTCGAGCTGTTGGCATGGACTCTATCCCTCCGGAAGCATGCAAATACAATGCTGGCCAGTTTGCGCGTGCCACCTTTTCACAATTGCTCAAGATGGCCCTCCATGGGCAAGAAGCCATCCCCCATAAGGGTGGCCGTCTTACTGCAGCTTACAAAGGAAAAGGTGATGTTGATGACTGCGCGTCGTACCGCAGTCTTTTGGTTTCCTCACAAATCGGAAAATGTTTGCATCGTACGTTGAGAATGAATCAGACCAGCTTCTATGAGCAGTTCTTACAAAACCAACAGCTTGGAGGACGGCCAGGTATCCCTGTCTACCTTGGCATTCATCACTTGCGGGCATTCCTGAGACTGCAAAAGAAGCTGAATCGTTCCTGTTGCATCATTTTCCTTGATCTCAAGGAAGCTTTCTATCGAGTCCTTCGACCACTTGCAATGCAAAATCGCTGGGATGACCAGGACATTGCAGATGTAGCCAAACGGCTTGGGCTTCCGCCATCGATCATGGAGGATCTTCATCAACATCTACGAGACCCTTGTGCGCTCCAACAAGCGTCTCTGCCACCACTCTTGCGCAATTGCATCACTGCCATACATACGGACACGTGGTTTGTCGTTGATGGTCAGGACAATGACGTGTGCCGGACCACTGCCGGTAGTCGCCCCGGCGACTGCTTTGCAGATACCATTTTTGGTTATCTATGGGCACGTGTTTTGCGTTCTCTGGAACAAAAGTGCATTGAGATGGGCCTTTTAGAAGCTTTTCCACAGCAAGAGATGGCCAATCCTTTCGCCGCAAATGAGCAGGTCGATCCACCATTGCCGCTTAGGCCATTCCTCGGCCCATGTTGGATGGACGACTTGGCAATACCTGTTGCCGGAAACTCTGCTGAGGAAGCTGTACGGAAAGTGGGCACTCTAGCAGGACTCCTGCTGGATCAATGTGTGAACTTTGCTATGTCCCCGAATCTTGCGGCAGGCAAAACCGAGATCCTTCTTGCACTTCGTGGTCGCAAGTCCCGACAACGGCGCCAGCAGTTCTATGGAGCGCATGGCCGGCGCATGTTTCCAATTATCGGTGAACATTCCTCCTATCAAATCCAGGTTGTGACCCGCTACAAGCATTTGGGTGGTGTCATCCATCATGGAGGAGATCAGAGACAAGAAGCCAAACAGCGACTCGCAGTTGCCCATCAGACATTTACTCAACAGAGGAAAGTGCTTTACTGCAACCCTTCGCTGGCTCTGAAAACCAGAACGCAAATGTTTGAGTCCATCGTCTGCAGTGCCTTCACCTATGGATCCGAATCTTGGTGCTTTGGTACGATTGCTGATCGTCATCACATTCATGTGGGCATTATCAAGCTTTATAAGCGTTTGATTAAATGGGTGCCGCACAAGCACAATGGATGGAATGATGATGAGATTTGCGATTTTCTTGGACTGCCGACACCGACGGAGCTCCTGAGGCGTGCCACACTCAGATATATTGGTATTCTGATCCATTGCGGAGTTTATGCTGAGTGGGGGCTTCTTTCCCAAGATCATGTTTGGATCGGTTTGATCCAAGATGATTTGGTATGGATGTGGAACCAGCTCTACAGATCGTCTGAACTTCGTGACCCTGCAGTTCATTTTGACCAATGGCTTTATCTGATGCGACACCATCGAGGTTACTGGAAGCGACTCATCAATCGTGCAGTACGACATGCGATTCTTCAGAGGAGGAGTCGACTTGGTGTCGTGAAGTTGCATCGACGTTCTTTCTTATTTTTGCAAGCGGCTGGGCGACTTGCGCAAGCAGAGCCAATGTACACCAAGTCCCATAGTGCCATGGGGGTGTTTGGATGCATGCAATGTCAACTTCGCTGTAAAACTAAAGGAGGAGAAGGGGCCCATTTCTTTCGATGTCATGGCCAAGCAGCCCCAATTCGTCGCCTTTTTGCTGATACGTGGTGCCCGTGTTGTCAAAAAGAGTTTCACACTTTGACGAAGATGCAATTGCACATCAGGAATGTTGGCGCTTGCCGACGAGATCTTTGGGCAAGGGGACATCTTTTTCCACTTGGACCTGGCATTGGGTCTCTTGAGGCTCAACAAGGCGATCGGCGACATGACGGAGCTCTACCGCCACAGCAAACACAAGGTGCAAGCCTAGAACCAGTGCGTCCTCGAGACATCAGGATCGAGAGCACTGACCTCATTCTCAAGTTGGTGGATGCGTTGGCAGATCGTGAGCCTGACGCTTGCCTAGCTCAGACTTTGCGAGCCACAATTCAAGCAGTGCCGATATCGTGGACACAATGTTCAGCCACTTTGGCAGTCTTCATGGAGAGTGTTGATGAGGATTTTGCTGGAATGCTGGGCCTTGAGACTTCGGCGTTGCGGAGGGCGGTTGAGTCTCTCCAGCGAGTGGAGGCATGGGAGTTCTTAGAAGAGCCGGCCCTGGGGCATAGTGGACCTGATGATGAACTGGCCCACTTTGACAGATGGTGCAGCTCCCTTCTACGAGAGGAACAACCATGGCATCCTAATGTACCAGCTCCGCGACCAATTGGGAAAGACAGAATCATCCTGCACGCGTTTGCCGGCAGAAGGCGCGTGGGAGACTATCAGTGGTACATTGACAAGTTGTGTGAGACTTCTGATGGGTTCTTGCTCCATGTCGTGTCCCTCGACATTATTATCGATAAGAAGTACGGCGACTTGAGCGACCCACAGATGCAAGCGTTTTGGATTGATGGAATTCAACAAGGATGGGTTCATGGATTCCTCGGGGGTCCACCATGTGCCACATGGTCAAAGGCTAGAGCGGTGCAACACTCTGCCGAAAGGATGGATCCACATCGTCGTCTTCCACGACCAGTGCGCTCAGCGATGCATTTGTGGGGTCTCTCAGCACTTGCCATACGTGAACTTGAACAAGTGATTGACGGTAATGTTTTACTTGGGTTTTGTCTTGAAGCCATTCTTTCTCTGGCTGTACAGGGCATGACAGGGATTGTAGAACACCCTGCTGAGCCAGAGGGTGCTGATTTTCCATCCATGTGGAAGCTGCCGCTAGTTCACTTGATTCTCACTCTTCCTGGTGCTGAACGTATTCGATTAGCACAGGGTTTGCTCGGGGCTGATAGCCCTAAACCAACTGAGTTGCTTGTTGTGAATTTGCCTTCCATCAAGCATGACATCTGTAGTTGGAGAATCACCCCTGACCTGCCACGCAATGCCAACATTGGCAGGAATCAGGATGGTGCTTTTAAAACTACGCAGCTCAAGGAGTACCCTCCTGCCCTTTGCGCCGCGCTGGCTCAATGTACAGTGAAAGCCATGCGAAGCATTGATACGGCTGAACAGATCAGTGTTGACACACACTTTCTGCAGCAGTGTCATCAAATGGTGAGTCGAGATTTTGGTGCTTACATTGGGCCAGACCATGTCAGGTGATCATTTTCTTGTTTTTGGGTTTGTGTGTTGGTTTTGGTTTGGGTCTGTTTTCTGTTTGCTGGTTTTGTGTTGTTGCTTGGTTGTTTTCTTGTTTTCATGTGATGACACCTCTGACTGGTCATTTTACCTCAAGCTGCAATTGCACAGAATTCCTTGCACAGGCCGCTGCGACTCGCATCTATGTGCCTCATGGGAAAAAATATATTATATTATTATTATGTATATATATATATATACGTATTATATATTAATATATTATATATACTTGTACGTATTTATTATGTATTTATATTGGATACTTGATTGATGTTGATGGTTTTTGCTCATACTTCGTTCGTGCAAAATGATGAGCCTCTCAAGATATGTCAAGTTCAGATACTGTAAGGGTTTGTTGAACATTCGGAATTTAGGGGGCTTGAAGTTTTAAGGTGCCGATGAAAGGATTTGAGCGACAACTGGCATCCACCCAGTACTGTACCACCCGGTGTGTATTGCAAAGGCGCTTCTTTGGGTTACGATGGAGTCCCAGGCCAGACGGGCTGCGTGCTCTGAGGTTTGTTTCGGAAGCATCGTCAGTCACTCCGGTATTGGAGGCCGGGGAGTTGCGATCTTCGGAAATCTTTGGCGATGCTGTCATATGAGTGACGATCAAAACCCCCGCAGAGGAGTTTTATACAAACGTATGAATGGAGTATGTTGTTGTAAATTTGTAGTGCGTTTTGCCTGGGAGGCGCAAGAAAGCGCAAGGGCGGGCGCAAGATATATTAATATCGTTGTTCTTTTCTGTATCAGTGAACATTTGCTGCTGTAGCGGCTCAGAGCTGGTAGGCAGGACAGACGGAACCATACCTACCAAAACGGAATCAAATTGCAAGAGGTATGGTAGAAGCAGAGTGTATACACAATTATTAAATTATACACTTATAAAATTTGATTCCCAAAACGGCCCTTTCGAGCCAGAAAGCAGCTTTACGGGAATCAAATTTCAAGAGGTATGGTAGAAGGAGAATGTATACACAGAGAAAATTTGATTCCCAAAACGGCCCTTTTGAGCCAGAAAGAAGCTTTACGGGAATCAAATTTCAAGAGATATGGTAGAAGGAGAGTGTATACACAGAGAAACTTTCATTCGCAAAACGGCGCTTTTGAGCCAGAAAGAAGCTTTACGGGAATTAAATTTCAAGAGGTATTATGGTAGAAGGCGAGTGTATACACATAGAAGGTTTGATTCCCAAAACGGCCATTTCGAGCCAAAAAGCAGCTTTACGGGAATCAAAAATTCAAAAGGAATGGTAGAAGGAGAGTGTAAACACATAGAAGGTTTGATTCCCAAAACGGCCATTTCGAGCCAAAAAGCAGCTTTACGGGAATCAAATTTCAAGAGGTATGGTAGAAGGAGAGTGTAAACACATAGGTTTGATTCCCAAAACGGCCATTTCGAGCCAAAAAGCAGCTTTACGGGAATCAAATTTCCAGAGGTATGGTAGAAGGAGAATGTATACACATAGAAGGTTTGGTTGGATTTAGTGAAGTTTTTTTGCCTTTGCAATGCCTGTTTTGAACCCAAGTCTGGCGCAAGGTAAGCGCAAGTTTCTCTTTAGGTTGTTTTGCCAAGTTGGACAGGCATCGCTACAAGGCTCCGGCAAAAACATTTTAACAGCTCCGTAGCTTTCGGTATCTTTTTGAAATTTGATTCCCGTAAAGCTTCTTTCTGGCTCAAAAGGGCCGTTTTGGGAATCAAACTTTCTCTGTGTATACACTCTCCTTCTAACTCTTGAAATTTGATTCCCGTAAAGCTGCTTTCTGGCTCGAAATGGCCGTTTTGGGAATCAAATTTCCTATGTGTATACATTCTCCTTCTACCATACCTCTTGAAATTTGATTCCCGTAAAGCTTCTTTCTGGCTCGAAATGGCCGTTTTGGGAATCAAATTTCCTATGTGTATACATTCTCCTTCTACCATACCTCTTGAAATTTGATTCCCGTAAAGCTGCTTTCTGGCTCGAAATGGCCGTTTTGGGAATCAAATTCCTATGTGTATACATTCTCCTTCTATCATACCTCTTGAAATTTGATTCCCGTAAAGCTGCTTTCTGGCTCAAAAGGGCCGTTTTGGGAATCAAATTTCCAATGTGTATATATATATATTTGCCTTCTACAATACCTCTTGAAATTTGATTCCCGTAAAGCTTCTTTCTGGCTCAAAAGGGCCGTTTTGGGAATCAAATTTCCTATGTGTATACACTCTCCTTCTACCATACCTCTTGAAATTTGATTCCCGTAAAGCTGCTTTCTGGCTCGAAATGGCCGTTTTGGGAATCAAATTTCCTATGTGTATATATTTGCCTTCTACTCCACAATACCTCTTGAAATTTGATTCCCGTAAAGCTGCTTTCTGGCTCGAAATGGCCGTTTTGGGAATCAAATTTCCTCTGTGTATGCACTCTCCTCCTATCATACCTCTTGAAATTTGATTCCCGTAAAGCTGCTTTCTGGCTCGAAATGGCCGTTTTGGGAATCAAATTTCCTATGTGTATACATTCTCCTTCTACCATACCTCTTGAAATTTGATTCCCGTAAAGCTTCTTTCTGGCTCGAAATGGCCGTTTTGGGAATCAAATTTCCTATGTGTATACACTATCCTTCAACCATACCTCTTGAAATTTGATTCCCGTAAAGCTGCTTTCTGGCTCGAAATGGCCGTTTTGGGAATCATGACCTATGTGTATTATATATTTGCCCTCTACAATACCTCTTGAAATTTGATTCCCGTAAAGCTGCTTTCTGGCTCGAAATGGCCGTTTTGGGAATCAAATTTCCTATGTGTATACACTCTCCTTCTACCATACCTCTTGAAATTTGATTCCTGTAAAGCTGCTTTCTTTCTTCTGCTTGGCTCGAAAGGCCGGGGGGGAATCAAATTTTCTCTGTGTATACATTCTCCTTCTACCATATCTCTTGAAATTTGATTCCCGTAAAGCTTCTTTCTGGCTCAAAAGGGCCGTTTTGGGAATCAAATTTCCTATGTGTATATATTTGCCTTCTACAATACCTCTTGAAATTTGATTCTCGTAAAGCTGCTTTCTGGCTCGGAAATGGCCGTTTTGGGAATCAAATTTTCTCTGTGTATACATTCTCCTTCTACCATAGCTCTTGAAATTTGATTCCCGTAAAGCTTCTTTCTGGCTCAAAAGGGCCGTTTTGGGAATCAAATTCCTATGTGTATACATTCTCCTTCTACCATACCTCTTGAAATTTGATTCCCGTAAAGCTTCTTTCTGGCTCAAAAGGGCCGTTTTGGGAATCAAATTCCTATGTGTATATATTCTCCTTCTACCATACCTCTTGAAATTTGATTCCCGTAAAGCTTCTTTCTGGCTCAAAAGGGCCGTTTTGGGAATCAAATTTCCTATGTGTATACACTCTCCTTCTACCATACCTCTTGAAATTTGATTCGCGTAAAGCTGCTTTCTGGCTCGAAATGGCCGTTTTGGGAATCAAATTTGCTCTGTGTATGCACTCTCCTCCTATCATACCTTTTGAAATTTGATTCCGGTAAAGCTGCTTTCTGGCTCGAAATGGCCGTTTTGGGAATCAAATTTCCTCTGTGTATGCACTCTCCTTCTATCATACCTCTTGAAATTTGATTCCCGTAAAGCTGCTTTCTGGCTCAAAAGGGCCGTTTTGGGAATCAAATTTCCTATGTGTATACACTCCTTCTACCATACCTCTTGAAATTTGATTCCCGTAAAGCTGCTTTCTGGCTCGAAAGGACCGTTTTGGGAATCAAATTCCTATGTGTATACATTCTCCTTCTACCATACCTCTTGAAATTTGATTCCCGTAAAGCTTCTTTCTGGCTCAAAAGGGCCGTTTTGGGAATCAAATTCCTATGTGTATACATTCTCCTTCTACCATACCTCTTGAAATTTGATTCCCGTAAAGCTTCTTTCTGGCTCAAAAGGGCCGTTTTGGGAATCAAATTCCTATGTGTATACATTCTCCTTCTACCATACCTCTTGAAATTTGATTCCCGTAAAGCTGCTTTCTGGCTCGAAATGGCCGTTTTGGGAATCAAATTTCCTATGTGTATATATTTGCCTTCTACAATACCTCTTGAAATTTGATTCCCGTAAAGCTGCTTTCTGGCTCAAAAGCGCCGTTTGGGAATCAAATTTCCTATGTGTATACATTCTCCTTCTACCATACCTCTTGAAATTTGATTCCCGTAAAGCTGCTTTCTGGCTCGAAATGGCCGTTTTGGGAATCAAATTTCCTCTGTAGGTAGAGCTCCTCAGAATCTTCAACTTCTGAGAATTCGAGCTCCGAATCATCAGATTTTGCTTCCGAAGGCTAAAAAAGTTTGTGTTGCACAGCGTACTGGATCAGTGAACACCCCCTTGGATTGAGCAACTTTTTGCGGCAATCAATTCTTAAATGCATATTTAATCTATGTAATGGAACACAATAAAAACCTTGAAGAGCGCAAGGAAGCGCAAGGGCGGGCGCAAGGTCATTTCTAATAACACACCGGCAACTATGTTTTGATCAACCCCCATATACTGTATGTCATATGCTGTCATAAGCTGCAGTGACCGCAGTTACTGTACTGTAGTGTTTACTTTGCATGTATCATCATGATTCATCATGTATCGAATCAGTCTGGCCTGCCGACGCGGGGGTCATGTTTGCCGGTTAGGAGAACAAGAAAGAAACTTGCCCTTGTCATCAGATGTTAGAAACACCTGTTAGTAATCGCTTCCATAAAGTCTGTGGACCCAACCCCCAAATATCCCCAAATATACCAAATATATCATCGCGCATGGACTTGCAACGATTTTTGGAATCGTGCCAAGTTTCGTTCGCAAGCAGCACCATTTGATGTTCCGCCTCCCTATGCAGGTTTGGAAGGACATAGCAAAGGATAATCATCCTATTAATGTGTATCAAGCAAATCATTGCACCATGATTTTTGCCTCCCTATGTGAGCAGACACAAGTAGACCTAGGCAAGCACTTGTGATGGAAGTCCCGCGACAGCGCGGAGTGTCAGCTCAGCAAGTTGGCGACTCAAGCACCATCCAGTCACTGCAGTCATGAAGGCATGGCTGCCAGAGGATTTGAACGTCTCGGAGAATTTTAGAGCACGTCGAAAAAGGAGGTCGCCATTGGGTTGCCTGACGCCTTGACTTAGGCCTCAGCCCAACCGCCTCTCAAGCGGAGAGGCCTTAGATAGCGGTGGGTCCTACATGAGAAACATGCACGAAGAACTGAAGATAGCTAAAGACCCCCACACACATATATACATTTATAATCATATATATATATATATGGATGACAAGATGAAATATAATATAACCATATATATATATAATCATGCCACAGTTTTTTCACTTTGCAGTTGCACACTGATTTGGACTATGTAAAGCGTTTGCTCAATAATGAGCCGTTTGGATCTCATTTGTGCAACTTGTACTGTACTAGTCGATGATCACAAACGCCAGGCTGGCATCCAAGGAGTCAAGAATTTCATCAAAGGACGGCAAAACTTGATTTTTGTGTAGGGTTGACTCATGTTGAATCAAAACAAATCGAGACTTGTCAAGACTTTACAAATACAAAAAGGACCAAAACCCAAAGGCAGTTTACCTTTGGGCATCGGAGCCTGGCAGCTTTCTGGGTTTTGTTGATCTTGAGATGATTTGAGTGAAGCTTGGAATCAGCTGAGGCAGCTGCCCCCCAGCTTATGCCAGCCTGGGTGTGAGTGCTTGCGTGATGTAATGATTGCCAATCCAGTTCAGCCCTTCAAAGCAACTATCAAGTACTCAATCCTGTGGTTGGTTCAATTCAGGCTGTTCACTAAATGCTTTTGTGGCAGCAATGTTACGGCCAAAATCAGGAGTCATCCGGCCTCAGAACCCCTCGTGTGGCAGTTCCACTTTTGACAAACGCAAGGTGCGGGTACTCACGCAGCGTGTGGAGGGTGAAGTTCCCGGTACAGTGGTCGGAGTCGTTTGATCCGGCTTGCAAAACAGTTCTGCAGCTTAAGTGACGCACCGCTTACTTTGCATCTTACTGGACCAGATGGCACCTTAATGTGCTGCATGTCACTGCTGACATTCTCAGTCCAGCAGAAGTGACAAATGTGACACAGACCTGCAAGAACACCCGAGAGATGCCTTGAACATCCTTTAGCTAGACCATTTTTTGACATTAGAACACCTGTATCACTCTGTGCCACAAGCCTTTCCGTTGGTGCTTTGACGAGAAATGCAGGTCTGGCCAAATCGCATGGAGTCCAGCACCGAGAATCATCATACAACCGGGGCAGTCAGCTCCTCTTCACATGAAATCTCTCCACATGATATCTCTTCCATATCCAGCCACCAAAAGGAATCTGACAACACACGCACACATGCCCACACACACAGAGATGAGTGACATTGATTGCCATAATCTGCCCTGGCTTTCCCAGAAATGCGGAGTCAAGAAACGACAGTTCAAGCATCGAATCAAGTCTGTCTAATTAAAACGCCTGCCAAAGATATCGAAACATCCCACGCCTGTTGGAAGAACATTTCACAATCATGCGCAACCGCACCATTTCGACAACTCCTGAGGTCCAGCTTCAGGGTCTTCAACGCCCTTGTCCGCACGAATGCGGTGCCAAGCCTGACAAGGATTGAAACAAAATCTATCAGAATCAGATGTCATTTGGATCGAGATGACGCCTTTGAACACTTTGGTACCTTTCTCCCACATTCCCGAATTTCCCGCGCACACTGGCTACACGGCTACACTTCCTTTTGCAAACACATGTCCTGCATAGGCTGTTGGATTGAGACCAAGGCCCAGTTTTGCTTCAACTCCTGGAACGCCAGCGACAATTCTGCAATCAGTGCTGGTCCCATCGCACGGTCCCACCCGACACGTTTTCTTTCTTATATCGTTCAGGCGCGGTCTATCCATGTCCATCCAGTGTACTGTAACTGGTGCGACACAGGTAGCGAAACATGCTGAACAGCAATGCGGTTGTGGCTTTGAGGTTTGTCAGTAACATTAAGAGGTGGGTTAGATTTGTCGGGGTTTAGATTTGCTATGGTTTTTGGTAATCTCAAAAAATCTCTATTAATGCATTTTATATCTCATAATATCTCTTTAAATCTCAAAATATCTCAAATTTGTTGTCTATCATGCGTGCAGTTGTCGTGCTTTTATGTTTTTTTTTTAAATATGTTTTTCCCCACCTGCCAGGTGAGGGTTGTTAGATTTTATGTCAGTTGCCTGCTCCTCCTCTCCTCATCTCCTCTCCTCCTCCTCGTCGTCCTCCTCGTCGTCCTCCTCGTCCTCCTCCTGCTCCACTGCGATCCATGTCAGTGTGCCCTGCCGGACCTCAACCACGACCATCCACGTCAGTGTGCCCTGCCGGACCTCAACCACGACCATCCACGCCAAGTGTTCCCTGCCGGACCTCAACCACGACCTTCCAGGCCCAATGTTCCCTGCCGGACCTCAACCACGACCATCCCCGCCCAGTTTTCCCTGCCGGACCTCAACCACGACCATCCACGCCCAGTGTTCCCTGCCGGACCTCAACCGCGAGTATCCACGCCAAGTGTTCCCCGCCGGACCTCATGTAGGAAGATATGGGACAAAGAATGTGCAGAAGAAAGTTAGAAAGAATGTCAGAAGATATGCCAGAAGATATGCCAGATAGAATGCCAAATAGAATGCCAGATAGAATGCCAGAAGATATGTCAGAATATATGCCAGAAGATATGCCAGATAGAATGCCAGATACTATGCCAGAAGATATGCCAGATAGAATGCCAGATAGAATGCCAGAAGATTTGCCAGATAGAATGCCAGAAAATATGCCAGAAGATATGCCAGATAGAATGCCAAATAGAATGCCAGATAGAATGCCAGAAGATATGTCAGAATATATGCCAGAAGATATGCCAGATAGAATGCCCGATAATATGCCAGAAGATATGCCAGATAGAATGCCAGAAGATTTGCCAGATAGAATGCCAGAAGATATGCCAGAAGATATGCCAGATCATATGCTAGAAGATATGCCAGATAGAATGCCAAATAGAATGTCAGAAGATATGTCAGATAGAATGCCAGAAGATTTGCCAGTAAGAAAATGTATAAATGTCATGGTGGGGATCACACGAAGTAAAGTAATTTTTTCTGTTGAGACCCATCGAAATTTGTTTTGGAACCATGTCCAAAGTAACCCTGTTAAATCCAACCCTCGTTTTAATGTTGCTGAGTTTGCATGCGTTTTGAAGAAGCATTGATCCCCCCCTATCCAGATCACGAAAGGTAGCGTCAGCTACCTGAGTTCTCCGTGCTTCAGCACAAGCATAGGGGGTATTGGGGGGCCAGCCCGGGCCAAACGTGGAATTCTAGCCGTTATGTATTAGATATCAATTATAAGGGGGGGGGGCCCCCCGTACGTTCGACACTTGGAGGCTATATCGCAAGCCAAGAGGCTATGGATCAATACTAATCAAAAGGCAGCGAAGCAAACCATAGGCGCAAAATGGACGCAACTGATTCCGCCTGCTTCGGGCCGTAATAGGCTTTCCATTAAAAGACATGCCGACGAAGCCGCTGGAACCGCTGGCGCCGATCAAGCCAATTGAGCCGATGAGGCCGCTGGAGGCGATGAGGCCGATGGAGCCGCTGGAGCCGATGAGGCCGATGAGGCCGACGCCGATGGAGCCGATGAGGCTGCTGGAGCCGATGGAGCCGCTGGAGCCGACCAGGCCGATGGAGCCGCTGAGGCCGATGGAACCGATGAGGCCGATGAGGCCGATGAGGCCGATGAGGCCCATCAGGCCGCTGGAGCCGCTGGAGCCGATGAGGGCCGACGAGGCCGATGGAACCGAGGAGGCCGCTCAAGCCGCTGGAGCCGATGAGGCCGCTGGAGCCGATGAGGCCGATGGAGCCGCTGGAGCCGATGAGGGCCGATGAGGCCGATGGAACCGACGAGGCCGCTCAAGCCGCTGGAGCCGATGAGGCCGCTGGAGCCGATGAGGCCGATGGAGCCGCTGGAGCCAATGAGGCCAATGGAGCCGAGCCGATGAGGCCGATGGAGCCGATGGAGCCGATGAGGCCGATGGAGAAGCCGATGGACGCGACCAGGCGCGCCACAATGCAAAGCACCCATGCTCTCAAAGTGGCGCTTGGCGCCGGCGATAAATCCTATGCAGTATTGCCAGTATAAAGAGAGTTGCAGGTTACAGCTACATGTATCGAGACACCTTAACCCATTCCACCCTGCTTACATGCACAGACAAGAAGTGGTGCCGCAAAATCGACGCCAACCGTCAATGGCACGGGCCCCCCCCGAAAATGGTCATGGGTTCAATTCCCGCGGGTGACGCGGTCACGGTCCGCCACAGTAGAGGCACACTCTCCATGAGGGAGATGTCCCTGTAGTTCAGCATAATTGGTTTGCTTCAGCCTCAATAACAGTTGCTGCAAGGGGTCTTAAAAAGTGGTTTTAAATAAACCCCTTTTTGTGCATCATTTCACGCTGCACAAGACACCGTATCATGCAGTCATGCTCTGGATAAAATCATCTTAGACTGCGCAAAAACGTTTTTGGTGTATCATCTTAGGGGCGCAGCATTTTGACACCACTCCTCTCCCACTACACTACCTTTCGTCCGCCTCCGCCTGCTCTCAAGTGAGAAAGCCCAGCAAGTGTACCTGCGCATCAGCGCATGACCGTATCAACGTAACAACGTGCCAGTCTATCAGCGTATCAGCCTCCAACCCTGTGCGGACACGCAGTGCCACAACTGTCTCTAATTGCTTCTAGCAGAGAGGATGTTGAGCTAGTGTTATAAGAATCTTAGAGCCACAGACTGGGAGGCTCTCAAATATATATATATATATAACTATTTTTGCAGTTGTTTTTTCTTTTTTTTTCTCAGTTGGCTTTTCAGTCTGTACTTCTTCAGTTTCCTTTGAATCTTCAGTTTCATCATCAGTTCTTTTTCGGTTCATCATTGTTGTTTTTTTTCGGTTTCATAATCGTTTTTTTTTTTGCGGTTTTGGACCTCATTTCCGACCTCTTTTCGGGCCGCTTTTCGCCAGCTTTCTGGAAATTTATCAAACTAGACGACGGATGGCCCGAGAGCGTAGAGGAGCAAGTTACTCAGGTGTAGGTAAAGCACAATGTGATGAGTACAGTATGTGAGAAGTATGTGGTGTAAGTAGAAGAAAAGACACTGATAGCAGGATATAGCGATGCTAAGATGAAAGCTGAAGAGAGGCATTGAAACATGTGTACTGATACTGATACAGAACAATAGCAAGAAGATAAAAAGTGCTGCAAGACCAAGGCTGTATGAAGGAGACTGGGTAGTAGGAAGAGAGTGAGGGACGAAAAGAAAAGGTGAAGAAGATGTGAAGATGTAACACAAACGCTTTTACACACAGCCGCTCTTACGCAGAAACGTTTGTACACACAGACGCCTTTGCATATACAGATGCCTTTACACACGGACACCTTCTACACACACAGGTTTTTACGCGTACATTTTCACGCAGACGGTTTTACAAACAGACACAGTGACGCTCTTACACAAACACTTTTCCACACAGACGCTTTTACACACAGACGCTTTTACAAACAGGCGCTTTTACACACAGACACTCTTACAATCTCTTACACACAGACACTCTTACACACAGACGCTTTTACACACAGACGCTTTTACACACACACACAGACACTTTTACACACAGACGCTTCTACACACAGATGCCTTTACACACAGGCCCCTTTACACACAGGCGCTTTTACGCACAGACATACACAGACGCTTTTACACACAGACGCTTGTACACACAGACGCTTTTACACACAGGCTCCTTTACTCACAGACACTTTTTGTATGGCAAAGCATTTGCAAAGTGAAAACACAGTGAAGAAATCTGTGTGGTCAGTTCAAACAGTTGTGTTTACGATTGCCATTTTGGACTCAAGTTTGTCCTTCCCTTTGTTTAGACTTCACTTGTTCTGTCTCTGCTTTCCATCTTTTGAAAAGGCCTTGAAGCATGGCCAAGAATCAAGGACAAGTCGCACCCAACCATACACGGAAGAAAAGTACGCGGCTTCGCCGGAATAAACGCCATCTTTGTTGAATGGTTATGCGGCTTAGCCGGAACAAACGTCAACTTTGTTGTGGTCGCATGCTTGCAGATGACTGGAGGTTGGTGGGGAGGTATGGTGACTGAACTGTTTTCACACACAGACGCTTTTAAGCACAGACGACGCTTCTAAAAGGGAGGTGCCTTTACACACAGGCACTTTTACACAACAGCTTTTACACACAGATGCTTTTACACACAGGCTCTTTTGCACACAGATGCCTTTACACACAGGATCCTTTACACACATACACTTTTACACAACAGCTTTTACACACAGAAGCATTGACGCCTTTACACACACAGATGCCTTTATGCACAGACGCTTTTACACACACAGACGTTTCTTTACACAGATGCCTTTACACACAGGATGCTTTACACACAAACGCTTTTACACACAGACGCTGTTACACACAGACGTTTCTTTACACAGATGCCTTTACACACAGGACCGTTTACACACAGACGATTTTACACACACACACAGACACTCTTACACACAGATGCCTTCACACACACAGATGCCTTGACACACACTGACGCTTTTACATAGAGGCGCTTCTCTTTTACACACAACCGCTTTTACACAGACGCCTTTACACACAGAAACCATTACACACAGGCGCTTCTACACACAGACGCTTTTACACAACACGCTTTTACACACAAACGCTTTGACGCACAGGCTCCTTTACTCCAAAAAGCTTTTACACACTTACGCTTTTACACAGACGCT